TGTAACAAATTTTTTAAGGAAGCAGTCATACAGTCAGAATAGCTTGGGCCGGAAGGACCATAAAGATTATCTCGTTCCAACCCCCTGCCAGGTTGCTCCAAACCCCATCCAACCTGGCCTTGAACAACTCCGGGCATCCACCTCTGGACAACCTGTGCTGGTTCCTAACTATCCTCACAGTGAATAATTTCTTCCTTATATTTAATTTTACGTTACCTTTTTTTTTTTTTTTTTAGTTTAGTTTTTTAGTTTTAGTTTAAAACCCTTTCCCTTTGTCCTGTCCCTACACACTACAATTCCTGATAAAGAGTTTCTCCCCCTCTATAATTGTGTCTCTGCTTCTCATCTTGATGAATTGTTGATCCAAATGTGGGTAACTGGAATTCTCTCCTCCCATGGCCTGTTCTAAGCATGTCACTACTTTGAACACACATAACACTTCACAGAATCACAGAATAGTTGAGGCTTGAAGGCACCTCTGGAGTCTTTGTCATCAGCCCAACCCTGCTCAAAGCAGGGTGCCAAGGGCCTTGTCCAGTTGGGTTTTGAGTATGGTGAAGGATGGAGGTTTCACTACCTCTCTGGCAAATTGTAATGGTGTTGGATCATCCTCACGTGAAGACACTTTATTTCTTATGTTTAAATGGAATTTCCTGTATTTCAGATTGCGCCCACTGAGAAGAGTGGTTCTGTCTTTTTTCATTGGTGTGCTCAGAAGGCAGTCAGCTGTCAGGGGTAGTTTAGGAACATATTAACTGCTGCAATGGAGTTTTCAGGGAACTCAGCACAGCCTGGTCAGGTTTTTAATTCACAACAGTTCTTTTCCTTGTAAAGGTCTATTTTTGGATCCCCTCTAATCAGTATATGTGAAACTGCATTTGGACTACTTGCTACATCCAGTCTGGTTCTACTAGTAAAAGAAGACATTAAGAAATTGGAAAGAGACCAGCAGAAGGTCACCAAGATGGTAAAGGTGCTGCAGGAGGAGAGACTGAGAGGAGGGGATTTGTTTAAACCTTGAAGAAGATAAGGCTGAGGCAAGATCTCCTAGCTATCTACCTAATAGGGAGTTATAGAGAAGAGAGTTCCACGCTTCTTAGAAGCATATAGGAAAAGAACAGTAGATGTGGCTATAAGGTGCAAGAGAAATTCCATCTGGACACAAGGGAAAAATTCACCAGAGTATTCAACAAGTGGAAGAGGTTGCCCATAAATTGGTGGGACCTCCATACCTGGAGATACTAAAAACCCAACTGAACCAGTCTCTGAGAAACATAAATTAACTTTGAAGTTAGTCATGCTCGTAGCAGTAATTCTTCCTTCACCCTTAGCTTTTGGCATATCGTTCCCTGAAAGCTCACCCATAACTTATGGCAAGATAATTGCCTTCTCTGAGCATAGCATACCTGAATGCCAGTTTCTGTGACTGGTCAGATCACAGAGCACCTTTAATGATGCAGCTCTCTGGTAACAGAACAAGTTTGGCTTCTCCTACTGCCTCACAGCAGCTGGAAACAAAGCTGAGTGCCCTCCAGGGCAGCGAGAGTGTGTGCAAGACGAATAACTCTTCCACTGCAATTCAAGATGGAAAAGACTGCAGAACAAACACGAAGACATTGCTCCTTTGCAGGCACAGGAATCGTGCTTTTCCATCCTTTCATGTAATCCGCCTACCACCGAAAGTTGCTAACAAGGATTTGGAAAGTAAAATGTGCACTAAATGAATGGGTTTGGCAGAAGAAACATCTGTTTGTGAGTAACTTCTTGTTCCCTACATATGATAATGGTTATGGATTAGTATACAGAATACTGAACTTGTTTACAGTGCCTAGGAACTGTATGTTTTGAATCATTAATAAGCAGAATTTCTCATCAATATGAGCACTGCTGTTTTTTTCCTCTCCCTAAATAGGTGCCATTCAGTTTGCAGATTAAATACCAGTAAGATTCACATAATGTTGCTTTTTTTCACAGCCAGAGAGATCAACATTCTTATTATCACAGCCTGTTCTGTTTAGTATATTAATATTCATGACAGCTACCAGGCAAAAACAGAACCATTTTAACATGATCTCTCCAATATATTCCAGGTTTAGTTTGACACAAGACCAACAGAAGTAGAGAATATTTGCAAGGAGGGAGCAGTTCTGCAGTTCTGCTTGTTTAACACAGAGCTGTGAAACAAAGTACTGAAAAAGTTATTATCCCTAGCTCAGAAAATGTATTTTTGCACTTCTTTTTCCCTACAGCAGGGTTGTCCCATCTGAGGGAGGTGGGCTGACCAGAAGATGAATGGAGGGGACTCTGCCTGTAATGTGCTGCCTTGAGTTTTCCATGATCTAATGCTCATCTGAGCTCACATGCGTCTTTTTCTCTTTGCTTTTCACTGCACATTTCAGGCAGCCCATTCTGCTGTGGGGATTTTGCCTTTTAAAGAAATAAAAACCACTTTTTAATAGAAGTCCAGATGTGTAAATCCTGGCTATCATTGCACTGACTTAAGCCCTGGCCAGCATTAAATGTACACTTGCAGAGATGTAGATTTGCTGAGCTCCTTATGCACAACACATGGCGTTTGCTTGTTTGTCTCTGCCATCTTCGTGTGCTATTGGCCCTGCCTTGGTATTTATTTTCTCTCAATTGTAACGTGAACCCCCCAAATGCAGCCACTCTTGTGTGTAACCGGGAGGTCTGCATTCCAGCTCCCCACTGGAAACCCATTGGAGCTGGGAGCGAGAATAGTCCGTGACATATTCCAGCTGGAATGCCTTTTTTAAGAGCTCTTGGACCCACTCCAAACACAGCAAGTGCGGGACAGGGATCTGATTTCACCTCTAATGCAAGAAATATTCATGTGAAAACTTTTCTTCCACAGAAGAGATTGCAAGAGCAGTTAAAAGTTGTAAATAGTTTCCTGGTGTTATTTGATTTTGATAAATATACACACAATGCCACACCCACATGTAACCACATTCACACCCCACCAGAACTGAACTAACCTGAAGGGAATTGGTGGTGTGTTTTTCCATCCGTCAGAAAACATATTCAGAAAGGCTTGGGGATGGCTGGAAAAGTTTATCAGACAAGTTGAAACAAAACAAGGAAAGGAAAATCGCTAGAAAATTCACATGGCTGTACTAGGGACTTCTTTTACCACTTACTGCAGAACTGGAGTGGATGACTTCAGCTGTGATGTGCTGCAGAGACCCAGAGCAGTGCTCTGCAGGATGACCTCTGCCAGACAAATCTTCAGCGAGAAAACATCTCACAAAGCCACTGCCCCACCTCTACCTGTCATTTCTTGAGAAAGACCTATGGGAAATAAGCCTAGGAAATAATATTCACCTCTGCCGGTTACTAAAAGTCAGCAGCTCAGCAGAGCCACGTGCTTCACACTGTCCTGCAGTGCTTCACGTACCCTGCAGCTGAGGACCCACTGTCCTCAGGTGCTCCCTGCCTGGTGCTGCTGCACCCCTCTCCTTCCCACCACCCTCTGTGGTCCACAGGTGTAGCCTGCTTATTCTTTTAAAGTGATTTTACTTAAGGTAAACTGAACTCAAAGCAATTGCTCCTAACCAGCATCATGACATTTGCAGCCTCGTCTCAAACCGGTAAAAAAGCTTGTCAGGCCAAGATTGACAGACAGTTTTTGAGAGCCTAAACAAAAATTAAGGCTACAGTCATTTCTTGTTTGTGTCCGTAGACCTTCGGAGCTATTACAACAATAATTAAGTGTTCAGACATGTCCTTTTCTCGTTGTCACAGCAAGGCTTAAATTCCCTTCTGGAGGAGAGGAGAGCAGCTCATAACAAAGGCAGAGCGGTTCTTCTGCTGTCGCTGGTGGTTTGTGCAAATGTAAAAGATGTGCAGACACAGCAAAGAAAAAAGATAGCAAGTAAGTGCAGACAAACATAGACATCTTCACAGAAGGAAAATTCCCCCACCCCAGTACAGACTTTTGGCTGAAGGATAATGTCTTTGTTCCCCGATCCAAGATGCTGTCACTCCTGTTTCATTATTTCTCCTCTAAAAGAAACAGACTTTCCACATTCTTTGTAAATGAAAGGGATTGCATTAAAAAAAACCTGTTTATTGTTAGCTTTTCTTAACAGAAACTGCCTGCAGGGTCCCTCCGTGTGGCCAGCAGTTTGACAGAAAGCAGTAATAGTCCTGTGAGTGAATCTAGTGTGGTATGTGCATCCTTAATAGCCACGATTAATGAAAATGAAGAAGGAAGTTGTGCTGGATGGATGCTGGTGCATTTGGGCATATTTGAACTGATCAGATAGTTGAGTTTTGATAAGTTTGCAGTTAAGTGCTTCAGGACACCATCAAGCCTCTCTCTCCAAACAGGTTACAGCTCTGGGTCATTAGAAGCCTGAAAGTCCTCTTTGCAAAGATTAAATCTGCCCCCTCCTCTAGGAATATTGGCACCGTAACAAAGACTGCAAAGTTAAGAACATTCCAACCTGTCTTACAAAAGCAAGACTGCGTATCAAAATGTTGTATGCTATTCATTAACAACATTTTAAAGAGCTCAAGACTTCCACACACGAGCTGAAGAACAGCCCATGCAGCTGAACCTCACATTGTGCCTTGTTTAAAAATATTTAAGGGTATAAAATGTAAAGTAACATGATGGGGCTGTCTTGCAAATGAGTGGAAATTGGAAAATATAACACTTTAAATAGGACCATCTCTTTCAGGACTGAACACTTGATAATACAGAGGTAAAGTTCTTAGGTGACATAGACCTTTTCATCTTCTAAGGTGAGAACTGCAGAGTTACAGAGATGTGAAATTAGGTCATGGAAAAGAATAACTGTAGAAAAATAAGCCCCTGATGACGAGTGTCACAGTGGCATAACTGGTGGTTCAAATGTGTGGCACCTTGGCAGTAGGGTCCTCTGACTTGGAACTCCAGGAAAGCCTTGTTGTATAACTGTTTTATGAGACTTCTTGTGTCCATTGCCATGGGCTTATCACAAACATTGGTCTTATCACCATGAGATAATAGTATTTATTAAGGCTTACAGTGTAACAACTGACACTCCCTACACTGTGTATAAACTCTCCTTCGAAGTCTGAAGATTTATAAAATGAGAATGAGGAAACACAGATAGTGAGGGGGTGGAAAGCTCTCAGCGAGACCCCTTTGGCTGAGCCTGTCCTGTCACCAGGCGGGTCTGGAGCAGGCTCCTTAGAGCATGGGCTGTGCTCTCAGAACACAAGCACCAGAGAAGACCAGCTCCAAAATCCAATAGCTGCATTGCTGCAGGCCGCCAGCATTGGTCTCTTTAAACAAGCAGCAAGGGCAGAGGGGGTGAAAGATGAGCCTGCCCATCACCTGTGCCATGTGGCTGGGGTAGAGCCATGGTGAGCCTGAGAAGAAAAAAAGGCACGGGGAACATTTTAAAAGCTCCCTCTCATGGTCTGAGAGTTCACAAGCTCAGCAAACAATCATTTCTCTGTGGATTTTGGTGGAGTTAAGTGGAAGGCTGTAAGGAGTTCTCGTACAGAGCCACGGCTTCAGGGTCTTCTGTGCTTCAGCCCTGCAGTCTCAAGTCCATGTTGGAACAGGACCAGAATGAAGAACCTCACATATGTTGCAGCCAGGTTCCCAAGACGGTTGCAGGAAGCCAAGCGTTCTTAAATTCTTTGGAAAATCCCAAATGTGCCTCTGATGACAAAGGGCAGCTTCTGGCCTCACCCAAATAGCAACCAGCTACAAGTCAGTCTATTTGTCCTTCCAGTGACATTTTAACAGCAGAGATTATGTAGAAGGCAGTTAGCCAATCTGTGCTGGCTCTTTCTGCAGCTGGTTGATAGAGAAAGGAGTGGCTTCAGCCAAGGTTCTTTCAGCATAACCTGTGTTCACCCAGCAATTTGCTAACTGGATAAAAAGTATTGGTAACATTCAAGACAACATGGCTTCACAGTGACAGCTAACAGACAGCAAGGTAGTGTAGCTTTTACTGTTCCACACATTATCTCTACGTTCACTATGATTACTTGCAGCATTAAAATAATTTTTCCTCCCGTTCTCATTTTGTTATCACCATTATTCACAGTATGGCTGTGCCCACATCTGGATGTCTGGTGGTGTGTATTACTCTATGTGGTAGTGCCCAGTGGCCAGGAACCTGCTATGGTAGGTGCTGGTCTCTCAGCCAGAAGCAACACCTGCCTTGAAGAGTTCATGACTGCAACGGAATATTAAAATGGAAAGAAAATATTAAATTTGCAGCTGAATGCAGTCTAGATTCAAGTGAAGGAGAGGCAGTAAGAATGACCAGAGCCAGTTTTTTACTCCGACTTGCTTATTCAGGCTTGGCTTACAGGAAGAAGTCCTAGACAGTATTATGCAGTTGAGAGCATTTTTTAGCTGTTTCTGGCAAAAGGGGTGTTGAAGAACCAGTAGGATTATTTAGGACATCTCTTTGCATGCTTTGAGTGGTACAAAGAAGATAAGTGTCATGATATCAGTGAAATAACGTTGTTCTTGTTAGCTGCTCACAGTCTACTCCAAAATTGTAGCTATCACTGCCTCTCTTGCCTCATATTAAAGCATACAGTCACAAAATGCCTGAGGACCACATGAGCTGAAAGCCTGAAGTCTCATTCTTGCTTGTTACTGTGGAAAGTCACTGGTTCCTGGATCAAATGCATCATTTCTGCAGGAGACACAAAAGCAAAGCTCTACCATCTATGATCATAATCTGTCTAGGGAAATATTTCCCATTTCAAAGGTGTTAAGATAGTAGTCAACTTCTGACCCCAGTAATTAGTTCTCTATCTTCAGAAATTCCTTCTTTTTCAGAAATACAGCAGTTGCAATTTGAGTGAGTTTTTTCTTTACTTTTTGTTCTAAAATTGTGATGTGGTTCTGCACTGTGGGGACCACATAGACTTGGTCAGACTATTCTAACTAAATTATCTTCCCACAGAAATGTCTTATTTCCCTTTTTGGCGCTACTTTTTCCTGATAAAGTATATGCTATGCCAAGGAAAGTGGGGACAGGCTAGCTCTTTCTGGTCTGAAGATCAGGGCACCCTTCTTAGATGGAATAGTTCCAGGTTCAGGTTCAATATTTGATAACCAGACAAATAGCTGATCTTTTCTCATGACTGTTCAGAAAAACAGAAGCCAAGCCAGACAAAACCTAGAAAGGCCTTGTTGTTGGCCTACTAAAAAAACATAAAAATTGTAAAATCCTTACTGTTTACATGGGATGGCATGAAAAGCATTTCACATCCCTCTCAATTGGCAGGTTGGTTTCATATCAGCAACAATAACTTGCAGCAGGGCTGAACTTTTCCTTAGCAGCCCTTCCCCTTAGAATCAGAATTTTTTAGTTTGGAAGAGACCTTGGAAATATTTTCATCCCTCCTCCCACTCTAAGCAAGTCCAATTGAAATCAGGTGCCTCAGGACCTTGTCCAGTTAAGGCTTGAATACTTCAGCCAGTTCTGTAGTATAGGACTCAGTTCTGCTGCTTAGGAGTTAAGGAGATATATTACAATGGGGCCACAGGAATTCTTACTATTACACTTTATTTTACGATCCAAAAGCTCAACAAAAATTACTTTGATCCATGGCATTTATGTTGCATAACTCTAGAAGCACACTGCATACATCCACTGACAGAGGCATTTGGGATAATGCATAAAAACTGCACTGCCATCAGCTAGAACAGGAGTCATTTCCTCTCTCTAACCCAGTACTTGCAAGGTCTCTGGAAGACTCTGTGATTATAATCTCATGCACATCAGTCTTTCTGAAACTACACAGCCTGTGACGTGCAGAGTGCATGCAGGCCTTTCTTCTTCATTGCTGGAACAGAGGATAAAAGATACCTTGTCGGTAAATCAAGCAAACAATACAGAATTTATGATTCTTGTTTTTAACATCCTTGAAGTATACATTGCAGAATAATATAATTCCTCACAAAAAGGCACTCAGATCAATATAAACAGAATATAAACATGAATCTGGAAAGTAAAGACAAAGTCACTGAAAACTCATGAAGTAGGGTGTCATTAGAAAGGAGCGAGGGAACAACTGAACCAAATTTTTATTTTTCAAAGAATCTAAATTCATTATTCCCAGTGAGATGGTGCTTTTCCTTGCCTGAATCACATTACCTAGTGTAAATACAGAAAGACACATCTAGTTTAGTTTGTTCTACTCAGATGAGGTGGCTCACCCACTCTGCCATCCCTACGGAGAGCTGGCTTTACCCTCATTTGCTTTCCAACATACCACTTGGGAGAATTTTTCTGCTTTCAGTACTTGGTCTTCAAATCACTCATTATTAAAACTCCAACTTTATTTTTGCAAGACAAAGAAAACACATGCGGAGTTTAAAGCTAGAGTTGTTGCAAGCAAAGCATTTTAATCAATATTTAATTTAGCTAGACTCATCACTTAAGAGTAAGTAGCCACACATTAAGAATGATCTTTTGCAATGCCCATCTTGACAAGCAAGCTTTACCATCACAAACATTGCTGCTGAATTCCAGTGCATCAGTACCTGCATCTGAAAGGACTCAGATAATAAGATATAGACTTGCAGTGTGTAGTTACTATAGTCCTTAGGAAAGGACCAAGATCTTTTGGTGGTAAGATCACCCCTCCCAAAACTTAAGTTTCTTTCAACGTTGCAGAAAGCTTGAGGAAACCTAAAGCAAAACAGCTTTCGAAATGCTTCAGTGTATTCGTAAGTACAGGTCAACCAAAGTAACAACTCTATCATCTGGGCTTGCACAAGCAGGCAAACATTTCATCTAAGAGCTGGTTCATTAAAAATGTCAAACCCAGCGACACAGACTGGGCACACTAAAGGGCTGTGTCTTCAATACAGATGGTGCAGCAGGGAGTCTAGTGGACACTGCCTGTGTCCCCTAAACACCCAGATAATCTTCTCTTTACAAGAGGAACCTACACTTTTCATGGGGTTTTAAGAAGCTTATAGTCTGCAAGAGGCAGCATTTAAGGTAATGGAACTCATTTTATCCATCTCTCCCCCATTTCCAGAGTAATTGCCATTCAGGATTCCTGGCCTTCAATGTTTCTGTCACTAATTATACCCAGATATTTAAATTCACAGAACTGTTATCACAAAACCTATTGAATAAGTAACTTGTTCTAAGTTAGCTGCCCAGCTAAAGCATGGAAATATCTCCGGTGAACTGATGAGCAACTTATAACCAAAAGAATTTTTATTGCAAATTGTTGGCGAGTTGCCCATAATTCATACAGAGATGGTTTTGTTCCTTAGACAGTATTGTCAGTCTGTAACGGATATCTGTGTTTAGTGGGCCTCAACACAATGAGGATGGGCAATTCTATAGTTGAAGGCTGGATAAGGGCATTGCTCCAGTGGAGTTACTCTGGATTTACAGTATGGAGTGAGGTTGGAATCTGGACAACTAATAAGGGACCACAAAATCCTCTTTTCAGCTTTTCTTTTTTTTTTTTTTTTTTTTTTTTTTTTTTGTCTCCTACAAAGACAATGAAGCTAACAAAAATGATACTGGACTGAAAGCAAAGTGAAATGGCTGTTGCAGACTGTTAACACATCGCATAAAGAACAGGGAGTTTCCACCTGGGAAATTCCCTCAAACTCTATGTTTATCCTCATGAAAGAAGAGCAAGCAGCCAAGTAAGGGAATGCAAAGTATACAGCTGCTCTAAAAGAAGACAAACCTCTGACTGCAGAGAGAGAAAGCTTTCTAAAATCCAAATTATTTTTATTTTTAAGTTTAACAATCAAGAAGCAACAGATAACTTAGATGTCAATGTGGCCAGTGGGGGCTAAGATACAAACACCCAATGAGAGTTGCCCAGGTTATTCATATTTGACCTTTCTGCGAGCCAGTGCAATAAAATCTGTGGTAAAGGACATTTTATTAACCACAACACAAAAGTAAACAGAAACAATCAAGCTTTCACAGGACCTCTAAGACTGCCTGATTTACACTTCTGCTAGCTCTGAGAATGCTGTTCTAAACACTGTTTAGCCTGGCTGATTCTGTGGCAGGCATGTTTCTCCAGTGATGCATGAAAAGCCCCACCAAAACCAAGGCAAAGTCTCTAGGCAGCTTTTTGCAGAGCAGCTCTGCATTTTGTTCCCACAGCCCAACACCATGCACATTGGTGGTACAAACAATCACAGACTGTTAGCTTTTAGTTGAAAGGAATGTTCTTTCAGTTAGGATAAATTTCTTAGTCAGTCATCTCAAATCATAAATATCGATAATTCTACTAGCAAACAATGAGGAATTTCCCAGCTAAAATGAAGCCTCATGAAGTCCTACTTACCATCAGTACCTTCTGTTCCTTTTTTCTCCCTCTTGTCTCTGAGTTGTTTCTCGATTGCTTTTACTTTTACTCCTGCTTCTTTTTTTTAAGTTGTACTTGAAGATTCCTACCCTCTCCCTTTTGGATAGCAGGAGACATGCTGGCTCTGAGAACAAACTACCTGCCTCCCCCATGGTTGTGAGGATGTTTGGTGCAATCTAATGCACAGGCCCAGATGCTGGCAAAGGAGCTGAATGAGAACTTTAAGGTATGATCCTGGGTGAGTGCCTGGATTGGCCATCCTGGGAGCCGAACAAGTAAGACTTGGAAATGCTAGGGTAAGGAAAGAAGCTCCCTTTTAAAAAATCAATGTTTCCCTGAGGAACTTAGAATAACCATGGGACTGGAGCACTCCGAGAAAAGCAGCTCCACAAGTAGTCCAAGACATGGCTCAAGAGCACTCCCCTAGCTTCATGCCCACACACATGCAGTGTCTCACCAGACTTTTGTGACCGGGTGCTGGATTTAGGACCTGGCCATCAAATGCTGTCATTAAATGATGTGCTAAGAATGGAGAGATGTCACTGAAGACTTTCCAAAGCTCTGATCCCATAGCTCATACATCCTGCTGCTGCCAGACTCGTTTCCAGAATGTAAACTGATTCCTTGTTCAACAGGGAAGTGAGATCTCCTACACCCACCAAAAAGAAAAAAGGGAAATGCCTTGGTCACAATCTCTCCTACTCTGCCTACTCTGAAGCCAAGCCAGAGGCACTGACCTCAAGAATGGGCTTCTTAAAGACTTCAGGAAACTCCAGACACCTGGTTAACCTCTGTATTTTAGTCTTCGTTTTCATTACATCTACCTGAAAACAGGCTTCTTCTGTACTTTGCCACGATTCTGAATCTAAATCATCTCTGGACATCACACGATCTTGCCCTCAGCCACCAAAAAACCAATGGTGCTTCACACACTGGTGCAGGAGTATCCCTCAAGGACAGAAGATCAGAGCTTTTGTCTGCAATCAATGCCTACGAGTGCTAAGGAAACAACAATGAGCTTAATAAATGACATATCCAGGAATAAATACTCCTATGTCATTAGATTATGCTTAGCATATATTTGGTACAATTAATACAATTACTACAATTACTCTGAGTAAATGGTTGCAACTTTACACATATTAATGACAACATCACTCTCAGGATTTATTCATTATACCGATTTTACTGGTGGGAAAGCACAGGTTAAATAAGTTTTCTAAGGCCACAAAGCAAGTGCTTGGATTTATAACTCCCAAACCTGCCTTCTGCTCCATCCAGCAGGCCATGCTGACTCACTGTGGAATGCATATTTCCACCAAACTTTTAAGGGAAAGAGGAATCCAAAGAACAAAAGGTACAGATAAAGAGCTATTCTAAGAAATAAATGTTTTCTGCCACTCAAAAAACATGACCCATCTTCTGTTTAACTTGTCACACTCATCAGCATGTTGGCCAGAAATAGGAGCATCAGAATAACACAAGGGAGATTGCTCTGACAGCATTTTCAGCAAAACTGCAAGCCAGACACAAACAGCCTTATGGCATGAGATTTCCGTAACAAAGAAAATCGTTAAAAATTCAGAGAATCCAGAACTGTTCCCTTCTATGCAGTTCTATGCAGTTCCTGGCATCCCCAAGACTGTAAGAAAGAAACAGCAGTGATGCTGTGATTCCAACTTCTTGAAGACTATTTCTATACTGCTGCTGCATAATACACGTGGCTGCTCCTCAGTGATGGACCTATTTGTACATGCTGGAACATCAGAAGTAACAAATCTGTTTTAGGCAAATGAACAATTTAAATATTAACTTGTCCTAAAGATGAAATATTTTAGGAAACCTAAGAAAATTAAATGGAACAACAGTTTCAAAAACCTTTAAAGTTAGACATTAACCAAGACGAGTGTGAGAGAAAATGCTGATAATGTGACAATACTATAAGCAGACAACCTGGCATCTGGCTCTGTAGTAGGAATAAAGACTTCATTTCCATTCTGTAAAGAGTTTCCATCCATAAAAAGTCCATTTCCTTTCCTAGGCAAGCAGAAAGGAAATGCCTGACCTGACACAGCTCTCTCAGTAACCAGAATGGATGTGCAGAGGCTGTAACACACAGAAAAGCTGAAGCTGCGAGCTGCCTGTTCCACGTTCCCTGCTCTGGCTGCGTCTAATTTACGCTTGCATAACTTAAGCCATGGGATAAATCCCAACCAGGGATTGTTGGCAGATTCAGATGTAAGTCCTAACAGCAATCTCTTTTGTGCACTGAGAGAGAGAGACTGAGATTGAAATGACAAAAATTACCAGCAAGCAAAACCCAAAAAGTAGAGAATAAATAACTGAAGAACCTTATTTGAACTTGCTGAAAGGACTCCTGATCCAATGCCCAAATGTAAAAAATAGACAGGGAAATCACATATTCTGATTCTTAATTTAGAACCTGACATTCTAAACTTACTCTGTGTGTCAAGTCAGAACCAGACACT